CACATCTTTTTTGAATAGAAGTGAAAATTATCATTTACAAACTATAACACGCATTTCCCAAGCTAGACGTTGCATTTCCTGCTATAAGATCTTTCGCCACTTCCTTTGCCAGCTGTTGGACAAAATTTGCTGTATAAAGACAATCAGTACAGCTAGTTTTCATTCTCAAACATCATGGCTTTAAAGTCTCTATTACAACTCTTCTTTCATGCTTTATTTTTTCCCTATATTCCAAAACCATCAAGCAACTATCATAACATCTGGAACAGCTTTTCCTGATGTGGGTCACCATTTTGGAACAAACTAGTGGTGCCTGAATATCTATTTCATTTAAAATGACATTTTTATTTCTCAGAGTAGCTCACTTTCAAACAACGGAGACATCACACCTGGAAATCGCGGTGATAAAACTACAGTTGGAATTTGTAAAATTCATCTCCGAGACTGAAAATATTTTACTTATAGAAGAATAAAAAAGTACTTATCAGCAGTAAAATATTCGAACAATCACTGTTCCCCTTGTGTAGATGGTCTTTTGCTGAGTGTCACTGTATTAGGACGTTTTTTATTGGCTAGAAGGAAAAGCTAGAAGATAGCAGAATAGTTCAGCGTATCGCCAGTGGATCGCAGTCAGTTTATACTTCTGACTAGTCTGAACTAAAGCATTTCATTAGTCAGTAAATAGTAATCACTCTTATGATTAACAAATCGATTGCAAGCTTGACTTAGAACACTAATTCCATCTTTTCGTTGTGACAGGACAGCATCCATTCCAATAGCGATTATCTCGAAAAGAATAAAGATGCTGCAAGTTTTTTATTGAAATTAATCAAAAACAAAAACTAAGAAGAAAATTCTCTTCACGACAATATCATTTACCATATTTACAATAGTATTTATAGGTGTTGAAAACAAATAGTAGTCTGTTATTAACAAATAAGGCTACGCGACCCCTAAGTATTCAAGGGAAGGACGAGAAATCGTTTTAAAGACCGAAAGAAACTAAGTAATAGAACAATATTGTTAAGACTATAGTATCAGAAGTCGATTTCATTTTTTCTGTGTACTGAATTTAGATATCACTTGGAAAATTGAAGTCTTCACGGTCCAAACATTATGAAATCACCCTCCTTTCAAACCATTTGGTATGACTTTATAAACCATTATAATGACTGCGGCGGTTCTCTATGATTGTGTGTTTTAACAAAGAATTATTTAATAGTCTACGCCCACTTCGTAACAATTAAGCAGGATAATTTGTTGAAAAATGTTTGGACTTTTATTTGTTAACATGCAATTACTTTTGGCACACGAAATGGAAGCGGTATTCTGCGGTAACTGAGACTTTGCATCAGAATCCTATACGGTCCAAAAACAATATGCTTCCGATCTTTCACGTGAAGATGTAGGCCTACATTTTATTCAGCTTCCAGGAAGATGTGCATTACTACAGAATAAGCATTTGTAAGGTCTCAGAACGAAAGTGTCTGCTTCAAGAAAGAAATTCAGTCACTTCAACAACTGAGTAAAAAGTAGCTGAAAAAGCTAGTAAGAACATGCAGCTTATATTAATTTAAGTTAGCAAAACCTGTTTTTACAACCTCCCAGTCACAAACACTATTACCAACTCCATGCTGACAGATAAATTCTGAATCGTCCAGTTGAAAGCCCTAGTTAGTTTTATATAAAAATGTTTACTCCAGAAATAAAGAATTTATCTTTGTTTTTCCTTCTTATTTGAGAATTGTAATATGTGTGAATGGGTAATAAACCTCTGAGTAGAATGATGTAGTATCTCGTTTTTAAGGCAAATTAACTTTTTGACTGAGTAAGTTGAATCGCCAAATTTAACGACACTGGATAGAATTAAACATCCTTAAATACTAGCTTGACACTGTGAACCTTAGATTTATCAACAGATCGCACAAATTTATCGATAACTACTTGAAGTCTTTAAATTTTGACTGAATGGTTTTTTCCGAAATAATTGAATTCAGAGTAGCTTTCCTGCTTAATGTAGAACACTTACAGGATAATTAAAAAGGGGAATCAGACATCTATTGTCCTTTATTTTAGAATTATTTAGTAATTCACACCCGTGTCACACTCAAAACTATGAAATTCAATTCATCTTACGAACAAGTAGTCATTTTGCGTATTTCCTATGACCTAGTCAGCTGAATTACAAATTCACATATGCTAATAGTTAATTATGAATTGACTTTCCAAAGGATGTACTGTGACTCCGTAAACTATATGTTCAACATAGTCAGAAGAGAGAAGGTTGCATACTACTGAGGTTTGACAAAAGTAGGAACATGTGAAACAATGAATTTTAGTACATCGACTGAAAGGTAGTTAAGGAAATATAGCGCACTGTTTATTAAAAGCACAAATACAGCAGCAAAATAACTTTGCCTGGTTAACTAGTTCACTAATTACTAGCCGATCCTAAGCCCGAATATACAGGGAAGGTTGGATATACAGCTAGAAACCCTACATCGCAAAACAAATCCAACTGCTAAAGAAACTTCAAACCAAAAACAAAATATATGAAAAAGAAAACAAACTTATTCCACACTGGAATCGCAGAGACGAAATGACACCAGTTGATGAAAGCCTTCGAGAAGCCAATTGGACAATGTGTCTTCGCTTCTCTCAATCAAAGCGAGAGTAAACGTGGGGACATGAAATGTCCGCACAATGTTTGAACCTAGCTGACAAGCCTGCCCAGATTGCAAAAGAGATGAGGAGGTATGGCATGAAAATGCTTGAAATCTGCGAGAGCAGACGGAATGGAAATGGACTCTCCCAACTGTCAACTGAAGCGTGAATAATCTACTCCGATATTGTCACCCAGACGACAACCACAAACACGCTAAGTTTTCCACTGGCTATCATGATGTCCCCTTCCCAAGAGCATCGAAGGCTCTCTCATGCAGAAGGAAACAATGTCATCCTCCAGCATCATGACAGCAAGATTCAACTCAAAAGGAAGGAAAGTCACAATCATACAATGTTACGCTACACTATGCAACTACAAATAACGCAGGTCAAGAGAAGAAGGAGGAGTTCTACAGACATCTGCAATCAGCACTCGACAAGACTCAACCCAGTCGGCGACATCACAATTCCAATCAGTGGGGTGACATGAATGCCAAACTGGGAGCAGACAATGCAGGAAGAGAACTCATCCATCATGGGTCGAGAATCACTCGGTGAAATAATCAACGAGAATGGAAAACTGTTTGCAGAATTCTCCACCCTCAACAATTTGGTGATTCGAGGTGAGGCAGTGTGTTCAAGCACAAGGATATCCACAAACCGACATGGATTTGATTTCATCACATGGACACACTACACTAAGTATCAGATCGACTTCATCTGAATGTGAAGAGAGTGGAGACACAGTCAGCCTAGTGGACAGCCTAGTGGACAGCCTACTGGATGAGATGAAGAAGGCGAGCAGATGTGTGTTCACACCACGCACTATCTAGTCCAAGCAACCTAACCTCCAAATCAAGTTGAAAGCCTTCAAGGAAGTTGGTGATGAACCACAGGTGAAGTTGAACACCGAGAAGAGAAACTATGAATGACATCTTCACGTCAGCCATCAAGACAGAATGAGAGATATCGAGCAACATCGATGAAGAAATATGTGTGGAAGAACACTGGAACCCTTTGAAAGCTATGTGGAGAGTAACCTACATAAGCGTATTAGGAAGGAAGAAGAAAGAAGATAAGGACTGGATGTGGACAAACACATGTAAGCTGAAATAGGAGAGTAGGATGGTGGAGCAGAAGATGAAGCAGTGCAGTGCAGTGCAAGTATGAAGAACGAAAAGAGGAAGTGAGTACAATATACAAAACGCTACACTACGTTTTGATGCCATAAACCTTCATCAACCTCATTCAACAGCTATATGATGCCACATGCTACATGACAAGTAATTCACAATCGGAAGCTCAGTGACGCCGTTGAAGTGAAGACAGGAGTAAACAACATCAACAACAATCACCAATCACCATCAACGGGAGAAACCCAAAGCAAGTCGTCTCTTTCACCTATCTAGGCAGCACCATTTAAACTACAGGTGGTGGCACAGACGAGGACGTCAAAGCCAGCTACGATAGGAAAGACAGCATGACAGGCCTTCCTTCATTAACCTGAAACCAGTGTGGAGATCTTCTACACTCACCACAAAGCGTGAACAAGATCCTGATTCTCAACACCAATGTCAGTCAAGTCAGTGCTTCTATATGGTTTAGAGACTTGGCGCGTTACGAAGGGCATTTTAAACAACTGCCGCCTCCACACGCTCGATACTGAAGATCAGATTAGATTGCCAGAAAGAATAAGCAACAAGGAACCCACTCTGATTGGCCAGCAACGAACCAACCAAGAAGCTATCACTCAACAAATATGCAGAAGGAAGTGGAGATGGATTGGACTAGTCGTGCACTGAGAAGACCATTTGGGGATATCATGCGCTAGGCCAGTCGCTCGAGTGGGACCCCGAAGGGAAACGACGAGTTGGTCGTCCGAGGCGAGGGTGATATGAAGGAGATCTTGTGAGGAAGAAATGAGAGTTTCTGGGCTGTCGTGGAGCCAGATTGAAAAGATTGCAGAGAACAGATTGGAATGGAAATATGCTACTAAAGCCCTATGTTCCATTGGGGACCCAAGGGACAAATAAGAATAAGAATAATAGATTAGCAAAATAGGTATTGTCTGTGCACATACGTCCTCTCGTTCTTTTGATCTGATATTAGATTTAAAAAACAAGTCATTAAAGTACTCAACCTTCTTTCATAATATCGAGATAAATTTTTGGTAATTGGTATAACCATTCACAGAGTTTGGTATGATATTCATTAAAAAGATTATTGAATTACTAGGAAATGTTTTTTATTTCTTGATCAAAAAATTATTAATCAGTAGTATCAATCACTAATATTGTTTGTAGAAAGTTGATTGTTGAATACGAATCAAATAACTACTAAGTTGGCTCTAACACACGAGCAGTAACTAATGGAATTTTTAATTCATGATCATAAATTGAGCAGACAAATGGGTGTGTAACATGAAATTCGGTTGGATTTAGAGACGCAGACAATGGTACTACCACTAGATTGGCTACAGAACCAGCCTCAATTCCTGTCTCATCTACACGAATTACATCTTTCTGTTGAAAAGTCGTCACGTAAATGTTCTTTTCACCTGTTATTCCTAAAAAGGAAAGATAAGCAACTCGTGCACACAAATAAGAAATTACTGCTTAGAAATGCCTAAAAGTGCTACTATGAACAGTTTCTAACAAGTGATCATTAATATCCTCCTAATCAGCATAAAGCTTAGTGGTAAAACCGTTTGCTGCATAAAATAACTGCAAACCATATCACTTTAGTATTAGTGAAAACCACAAGAAAGCTTTTTTATTGTATGATGATTAAATAGTTTCCTAGTTATTCTGTAAATATTTCATGTGCTTTTCAGATATTTGAAGCAATGTTTAGTGGATGCATGTGGTGAGGCTGGGTAATGTCAGTATCCATGATTACTACAGACCCAAGGAGTAACGAATATTGTAAATTGAGGTGTGCGATTAAGTTGCTTATCATATAAAGACTTTAACGTGAAATAACCCAAATTCAGTTGATTAAAGTTGTTTTTTATAAAATCTGGTTAATTCTCGGTGAAAACTTAGGCACAGACATTTAGCACTAATGCAAGATGATGATTTCGTATTAGATTTACCATTTTGATACAGCACACTGTGACAATAAGTATCTTATATGATTTCTAAGTTGTGTTCATCATGGAGCCCAGGAACCGTCCTAAGCTCGACCTCTCGAGTTGTCGTATGTACACAATTCTAGGAGTCTTAAACAGGAATGAAATATGCATTCAGTGATTTCAGGTTTTTGAAAACTTCCTAGATGACGTCAGTTTTTGATGACTGAAATCACTGCACTACAGTAAACCACCAACTGTAATCGAATATGAATTTCTTGGTGTTACTGGTGCATTCAGCAAACAGCAAGGTTCTCATTTGCCTTAATTAGGTTCTCGGTTGAATAATATATCATCGCATGTTCATACCTTTAAAAGATAGTAGTTACTTTGTTTCCGTTCTTACTGTTTCACTTGGAATACAAAATTAGTCGCCCCAATGTATTCGTACTCAAACATTAAAATAAGGTATGAAAGATGATAAATTAACAGTCTTGTGGAAATTATAGTTTGTATTTGAGTAAGTCACAGCGTGTGTGAAATGAAATAATTCCAACTTTTCATACGGAAGTCTGTTACGAGCCCATTCAGTCAAATAATCAAAATTTAAATATCAAGGTTATGTAGATGGAATGCAAAGTAGTCCATTTAATCTCCTCCTTTCAATCCTCTTCATAAAATATGATAACTAATTGTGTCTCTTTTATATGGTTAAAGTGTATGTGTATGTATGTGTGTGTGTGTGTGTGTGATTATTCCTATTCTCTTTGATTGTAAATATGAGACAAAAAGGTGATGGATGACATTGTAGTTATTTGGCGATTTTTATAAGTACAATAGGGCATATGAGGTGGTATACAGGGATGAATGGTACTAACGTATTTCTCATTGATTTATCGGAATAGAGTGCAGATGAATGGCAACTGAAGCCCTACATATATGGGTAAATCCAGATATTTTGAACAGATGAGATGGAGTACATTAGATATAACTTATGTTTGGGCAAATCTCAGCGCGTTTAAAATAGGAATCGCGAAGTTTTGCACGGAAATCCGGTCCGAGATTCATCATGGTGTACAGTTAGCTGCCTCATGTTATTTACTGTGGTAAACCGAAAGATTGATGCCAACATTTGCCGTCAACACCAGTCTCAACTTTATCATCTCTGCATCGGCAACACAGTGAATTGATGCGATTCATTATTATTATTATTATCACCATTTCAATTATTACTTTAGTTCAACTGCGCTCTATTCCGATAAATCAATGAGAAATACGTTAGTACCATTCATCCCTGTATACCACCTCATATGCCCTATTGTACTTATAAAAATCGCCAAATAACTACAATGTCATCCATCACCTTTTTGTCTCATATTTACAATCAAAGAGAATAGGAATAATCACACACACACACACACACACACACATACACTTTAACCATATAACAAGAGACACAGTTATCATATTTTATGAAGAGGATTGAAAGGCGGAGATTAAATGGACTACTTTGCATTCCATCTACATAACCTTGATATTTAAATTTTGATTATTTGACTGAATGGGCTCGTAACAGACTTCCGTATGAAAAGTTGGAATTATTTCATTTCACACACGCTGTGACTCACTCAAATACAAATTACGTCTAATATCAACCATCTTACTCAGCCCCAACATTTGTATTACCACTCATTTTATCTTGATCACATTTCATTATTAAGGTCTTATAGAATGTTTATTTGATTTTTAAGATTTCATAAATGGTACGTAGAGAGACAGAGTTTTGCGTGTACATTAAGAAGTTTGAAACCATATAGCGTTTACTCAAAACCCGTTCACACAGCATTTAATTTAAATGGATTTTAAAAGGACTCACCAGACAAGTCAGCTGTATTAGGATTAAACAGATCAGTTACCCCATGTTTTTAAGTACTTCAACTAGGTTTGATAATTTCTCCAACTTGAATCTGGGTAGTTTCAATGAAACTACTGTATTTTCTAACTTGCTAATGTATTGTTCCAACAACTTATTGCCATTAAGAAATTTAGACAGGTTACTTAAATTCCACTTCTCCTTTGGTAGCATTACAATGAAAGAAAATCTTGAGTTCTGTAAAAAAAAATTCAAAGAATAATGTAAACTACATTTCTTAAGTAACTGATAAGATATCCACTCTCTTCTATTGAAGTATATCATTTTGAGGTTCTCCACTTTCGAAAAATTTTACATCAACGTATATGATAAATAGTTCATGGAAAATAAATTTAAGATTGGTTGCTGCACAATGAATAGTATCTATATTATTTCCATATGCATATTACAGAAGCATTTCTGGAATGTCATATACTTTAAATTCTTATTTATTGATACCGATAATATTCCTTTGTCAGACTGCATCAAAGTGACCAATCTCTATAGGTATATGGGCTTCTGCGAAGAGGTTTAGATAATGACTAAAGATTCGTTTTCTTGTGATTTCCTTAGCAGTGACCAGCGATGAACTTTTCGTTCTGTTGTATTTGCAACCTGGTTAATGATGATGCTTCCACTGAGACTGGTGTTTAAAGCGTAGAGTGCTAAGTTTGGGGAAAATAACTGCTACAAGAAAAACAACCTATCAAAGACTAAAAATCCTTTCAATCACTAAACTCAACTGTAACATATAAGCTACAAATGAAAAGACCTTCAGTAGAAGTCCAGACGACGAAAACGATTAGCGGATGGTAAAATTCGAACATCTCGTCCCATCCTATTTAATGCTCCTTGAGAAACTTTAACGTCAGATATGCTACTAAAGCCAACTGAAATGACTGGAATTTATCATCCACAGGTTGAAAACTTCATTATTCTTAATCGTGAAATGTCGATTTGCACAGAAATAAAAAGCAAAGTAGGTTGACAATACAAGGATTAGACGGAAGCCAGGATGTGATCAGAACACTTTATCTGACAATTCGATTTCTCATCCGGTTGAAAACACGGCTTACGGGACTAAAGCTCATAATAGAAAGGAAGCATTCAGCCTAGGGAACAATTGTGAAAGCTGATGAATCGGCATGCAGCTTTCAAATAGAGCTGCAACACTGGTATGAAACAGCTAACAGGGTAGTAGTTATTCAACACAAGTAGTTTAATTAACACACTTATTCAAGTCACATATTTTATTTAAATGAATATTTTCTAAAAAGCAAATCAATTTTTCATTGTCACTAGTAAGTTATTATTTACATATGGAGAAATAGAGTGACCTTATAAAGAATGTTGCTTCGGGAGAACATATCTGAACAGCCTACATTAAGAACCAATAATTTCACCCTGGAAGGTTCTAGTCATCTATGTAGATCATGTCGTCTGCATGATCTACAAGCTCCGATTTTCGAAGGAATTACAAATGGCACTCAAATATGTAAACTACGTATCACTGCTTTTTATGCTATTCACGTGTAACGGGCTGCAAGAGTCATTCAAGACAGCCTTAAAAGTCTTTATGTGTGTTTTAAGAACTAAATTTGAAAATATCGACTACAGTCAACTGAAAACATTAGGACTGTAACTTATAATTCATAAATACAATGGGTGCAGTTTCAGTTTAACAGGGAAATTTACTATAAGATAGATGTGACAATGGGTTCACCATCAGGCCCCCTTCTAGCCAACATGTTCATGGCAAAATTGAAGGTCGACCACTGAGTAGCACGGTTAATAAAGTGTTGCAGATAAAAGGATGACACTCAGTCCGTACACAAAAGTGATAATAACCTTGACAATTTTCTCGATGAATTCAGCAGTGCTCATCCAGAAATCAAGTTCACAATTGATACAGAGAAAGATGATTGTCTGTCATTTCTGGATGTTTTCCTATAAAGACGAACAGATGGTAGTATCCAACACAGGATATTTCGTAAGAAGTCATGGGTTGGTGAGTATACACAGTGGTAATCGTTTCCCCTCTTACTTACAAAAGGAATTTGATCCCTAAACCGATGTTTCAACCCAGTAAGATTTGCACAGCTGACACTTTTAACTATGAAATAAGAATGATAGAGGACTCCTTATACGAGAATGGCTATCCTGAGAAGCTCATAAGGACTGTAACACTGAAAACAACTGCAGAAAAGTGCCTTCAGAGCGTACTAACGAAACGATTATATCTAACTTCAGAATTCAAAGGAGGTGCAGCTGCAAAACACTGACAGTGAAGTTCAGAAATCTGATAGAAGGAACTTTTTTGCCGCCACACTATGCCTGAAACCTACTATTGGTCGTATGATGTAATGTGACTGAAGGATAGGCTTCCGAATTTGGCCACATCTATGTGCATTTATAAATTTAACTTCGCCTGCAGGAAGAGCTAAATAGGTATAACGACTCGGCAACCCCATCACTGCTTCATTGAACACTGTCCAGTGTGGTTAGACAAAGGGACAGTGAAATCCGTTGAAAGCTCAATACTCGCCCACCTGGTAGATACTGAACATCGATGCAGTCGGACCGGATTTGTATTCCACTTAAATGACCATTTATCATTCATTACAAAGTGCCATCACAACACTGAGTTTGTGTGCCTCCGACTTCCAAGCATAGCAGAAGCCATAGCAACTAAAATTCTTAGGTGTTTGTTCGTCCCCTTCCCTTCCATGCCCTTCAACTTCAAACCAGATACAATTGCGATAATTTATTTCTCGGTCAACCGGATACATGTAAATATTATCTCTGTCATTATCATTTTACATTTCGCCCTTAGTTTCACAGCTGATTAAGTATCTTAGCCTCTTATTATCTAATCGCTATGTGACAATTTTATTTCTCTCTAACCCTACACACGCAATTTGCTCACACACCAACAAGAATCGACTACTGAGAATATTTCAACTTGAGGTTTGTAGGGAATTATTGATTTCAGGTTGGTATTTATATATATAAACTTTCCGAGACTGGTTTTGCGATTGTGATGTTTATTGTTATCCTCTAATTCATATACCTCACTTCTATTGACCATGTTGGTATCAAATTATTCTGCTAAATAATTTTTAAATAATTGTAAATAATTTGGCATTGTAAAGCCTGACGAGAATTTGCCGAAAACACGTATTCATTTCAAACTCTGTCTTCAAAGTATCATAGTGGGAATATTAAAAATAACTGAAAATGACCCAGCCTTCATTGTCCTCAGGTTCATTCATAGACACATTACGATAATGGCTTTCTATAGGAAGTGATAGATGTGACACTTCGTGTTTCTTAAGTCATACTTATGGATAGATTTAGTTTTATTACCAATTTTCTTTAATCATCTGCCCATCAATTTTTCTTATAGGCGGTTATCAGCAAACTTATGAAATGTTTCTTGTGAGCTTTTTATTATATTATTATTATTAGTCCCTTGGGTTCCTAGTGGAACATAGGGCTTCAGTAGCACGCCTCCAGTGACCTCTGTTCTCTGAGATCTTTTCAACCTGGTCCCACGACAGCCCAGAAGCTCTCATTTCCTCCTCGCACGACCTCCTCCATGTCACCCTCACCTCGGACACCCAACTCGTCGCTTCCCATGGGGATTCCACTCGAGCAACTGGCCTGACGCGTGATGTCCTCCGTCGGCCTTCTCAGTGTATGCCCAATCCATCTCCACTTCCTCCTGCATATTTGTTCAGCAATAGGTTCTTGGTTGGTTCGTTCCCAGAGTTCCTTGTTGCTTATTTTTTCTGGCCATCTGATCTTCAGTATCGAGTCAGCGTAAGCAGTTGTTGATGAATGTCTGTAGTTTATTGGAAATACCTTTCGTAACGCGCCAAGTCTCCGAGCCATACAAGAGCACTGACTTGACGTTGGTGTTGAAAATCCGTATCTTGTTCCAGATGCTGAGTGCAGAAGATCTCCACACTGGTTTCAGGCTAATGAACGCCTGTCTTGCTTTTCCGATTCTGACTTTGACGTCCTCGTCCGTCCCGCCTGTAGTTGAAACAGTGCTTCCCAGATAAGTGAAGGAGGTTACTTCCTTTAAGTTTCTCCCGTTGACGGTGATTGGAGTTTGTTGTTGTTGATGGTGGTGGTGCGGTATCTTCATCACTTCTGTCTTCTCTATATTCACCTGAAGTCCCGTCTTCGCTGCCTCTTCTATCAACTTGTTAGTTTTTGCCTGTAGATCTTCAAGTTTATGTGACATTAGGCATAAGTCATCGGCGAAATCCAAGTCTTCTAGGTTCTTTTCCGTCGTCCAGTGTATCCCCCTCTTCTCGCTGCCTACTGTTTGCTGCATGATCCAGTCCACCACAATAAGGAATATCATGGGGGATAGTAGGCAACCTTGTTTCACTCCTGTCTTCACTTCAAAGGCATCACTGAGCTTCCCATTGTGGATTACTTGGCATGTAGCATCTTCATATAGTTGTTGAATGAGGCGGATAAAGGTTTGCGGTACTCCGTAGTATTGAAGCAGTTTCCAAATTACTTCTCGGTCGACGCTGTCAAAGGCCTTCTCAAAGTTGATGAAGTTGAGGTGGAGAGGTGATTGCCATTCTACGCTCTGTTCTATGATGATACGAAGCGTTGCAATTTGGTCTGCACATGATTTGTACTTCCTGAAGCCTGCCTGTTCCGGTCGCAGTTTTGAATCCAGTGCATCCCTTAGCCTCTCCAGGATGATGCGGCTTAATATTTTACTTGGGGTGGACAGGAGAGTGATTTCGCGCCAGTTCTTGCAAGCACTGAGGTCTCCCTTCTTCGGCAGTTTGACAAGGTAACCCTTCTTCCAATCGTCAGGTACCTTCTCTTCCTTCCACACCTTCTGCAATAGTGGTGGGAGCATGTCCGCTGTTGTCTCTGCATCTGTTCTCAGTGCTTCTGGCGGTATTCCATCTGGTCCTGCTGCTTTCCCGCATTTCAGTAGCTTTATGGCGTTCAGGACTTCCATTTTCGTTGGGGGATTTATGTTCACTTGTAATTCAGCGGCTGCAGGTGGTATTTCTGGACGAAGTGCAGGTGGTGGTCGATTCAAGAGCTTCTTGAAGTGGTCGGCCCATCGTTTCCTTTCCTTCTCTTCTTTTGTAATTAAATTTCCTTCTTCATCTTTTATTGGTTTCATCTGTGTTGGTCTCGCCCCTGATAGCAACCTGGTTATTTGATACAATGTCGTCAGGTCTCTCTTACCTGCAGCCTGTTCTGCTTCACTTGCCAGTGTTTCGTAGAAGTGTCTTTTGTCTTTGCGTGCACTCTTCTTCACTTCTTTGTCCAGTGTTTTATACATTGTGCTCAGTTCCTCTTGTCGTTGAGCATCCTTGCACTGGTTTATCTTCTGCTTCACCATCCTCCTCTCCTCTATCAGCTTCCAGGTATCCGTCGAGATCCATTCCTTGTCTTCTTTCTTCTTCCTTCCTAATACTGTTGTGCAGGTTTCTTTCCACATAGCTTTCAAAGACTTCCAGTGTTCTTCCACACAGGTTTCTTCAGGGATGTTGCTCGATGTCTCCCATTTTGTCTTGATGGCTGCCTTGAAGATCTCCTTTGTAGTTTCATCCTTCAGTTTCCGAGTGTTGTACTTGAGTTGAGGTCTATCACCAGCTTCCTTGAAGGCTTTTAACTTGATTTGGAAGGTTCCTTGCACTAGGTAGTGGTCTGAACCTACATCTGCTCCTCTTCTTGACCTTGTGTTAAGTAGACTGCGTCTCCATTTTCTTGAGATTGAGATAAAGTCGATTTGATTTTTAGTGTGTCCATCTGGTGAAATCCATGTCGCTTTGTGGATATCTTTGTGCCTGAACACACTGCCTCCAATCACCAAATCGTTGAATGCGCAGAATTCTGCAAACAATTCTCCATTCTCATTCATTTCACCTAGCGCCTCTCGACCCATGGTTAGTTCTCTTCCCGTGTTGTCCCCTCCCAGTTTGGCATTCATGTCGCCCATCAGAATTTTGATATCGCCAACTGACGTCTTGTCCAGTGTTGATTGAAGTTGTCTGTAGAAATCCTCCTTTTTCTCTTGCTCTGCATTATTTGTAGGTGCATAACATTGTATGATTGTGACCTTTCTTCCTTTTGAGTTGAATCTTGCTGTCATGATCCTGGAGGAGATTGGTTCCCACTGCATGAGAGCCTTCGATGCTCTTGAGGACATCATGATAGCCACTCCATAACTCAGTGTGCTCGTGGTTGTCGTCTGGGTGAGAATATCGGAGTAGATTATTGATTCTCCAGTTGACAGTTTGGAGAGTCCACTTCCATTCCATCTGCTTTCGCAAATCCCAAGCACTTCGATGTTATACCTTCTCATCTCCCTTGCAATCTGGGCTGCCTTACTGGGTTCAAACATCGTACGGACATTCCATGTCCCCACGTTTACTTTCGCTTACATCGAGAGAAGACACATCGGCCAATTGGCTTCCCGAAGGCTTTCACCAACTGGCGTCATTTCGCCTCTCCGATTCCAGCGGGGAATAAGTTTGTTTTCATTTTTTATATTTTGTTTGTGCTTTGAAGTTTCTTTAGCGGTTAGATTTGTTTTACGGGGTAGGGTTGCTAGCCCTATGCCCAACCTTCCCTCTTTACCCGGGCTTAGGACCGGCTAGTAACTAGTAAACTAGTTAACCAGGCGAGGTTTTCTTGTGAGCTTGCTATAACAATATGATGCTAGTTTTTAAAAACACACATTCGTGCCATCATTGACCGTGACGTTCAGATTGGTTAGGTATGTCAAATAAACTACAGTGTTCACTTAGATCACTGAAGTAGTGCAGAAGTGCTTTACAGTACTATTTTGTGCTTCTGCGTAAGGTAGCACGAATACTGGTCGATAGGTGAGATCGTTTTGATAAATAATTGATGTAGTCTCAGTGTAGCGTTCTTTAATAGAGTGAATTTACGTATTTATTCACAAAGCTACAAGTAAAGTATTTATCAAAAGTGAACCAACCTTAAAAGGTTTTCTAATTATTTCAAAGCCCTCGGATTTGAAATCACCATAATCAAGTTCCTCCTCATTTGACATTATAGGTACTTGGATTTGACGATCCGAAGAAACTTCAAAAGAAGCATTTTCCGTCAACATATCCATGAACGGCACTTCCCAAACATCTAAAGAGAACAAACTCATTAAATAAAGTTATTTTTGCAACAAACAGTAAGAGCTTGCTAAAACGTGAAGAGAAAATAAAAGCACTGAGTCCTGGTGTTGGTGCGATAATGATCCATTGACATGTTAGCATATATTTAAAAGAGTAAGCAAGTACGATTATAGGACCTTTCCGTCCACAATGTACAGTAAGGATGCGTCTTTGTCACTTCTATCAACTAAATGCCATCTTATCATTGATCTCCAATGATCGGTGTATGTAAGTTTGAGATTTCTAACAATGAACAGAAACTTTTAAATCGAAAGGGTTTTGCGACTTTATGTGCCTAGATCTGTACTAAGTTTGCCCAATACAGATCAATCAATCCGAAAGAATGACCTCCAACTTTTAAGGACTGAATTCTTTTCTCTGAATATTTATGACTTCTTATATTCTATCTTCTGGCTTTACCAATCCTTTGTGACTTTTGTTTCCCATCTCTTTGCAATGACCCTTCAGTAATTTTTGAAATTCGGTTTATCATTGAACTAACTACAGTTATTGTCAAACTACTAACTTAAATGCAACCGTTTTTATTATCAGTATAACCTTTTATGATCGAATTTGGAAAGTTTTGTGAGATGTTTCTAATCTTATCAGTATTGTCTTGAGGTGTAAAATAGCCTACTAGTATGTTGTTCATAATTTCGAAAGTTGGTAGGCTTTGTTCGCCATTTATTTACTATGAAATTCAATTTCCCATCAAACCTTCTCGATACGTAATACCTAGTTTCATTCCCTTCCTATCCTATATATTTTTTACCTTCAGTCTTCATCTTTACTACTTGACAGCAGTCAGCCAACCGAGATCATCACAAGTAATGTAATTAATATTCTAACATTCACAGCTCCCATAAATTGGTTATTATAGACTGATATTTTGAATTTTCTTCAAATGAGCGTTATTATTCATTCAGGCTGAATAATTAATCCGGTCAAACCCCAAAGGAACAAACTGTATCGTTAATTAAAAATAACTCTTTTTTGAAGGCAAGTTGAAGTGTTAAGCTTCACCTCAGTTTAGTAAATTAAAACGCTGAAACAAAAAATTACATAGAAAAATAGAAATTATGACAAACAATGAATTTCAATATCACTGATTTTCAGATCAATTAAATTTCATTACTTAAAATACTTGCGATCATTACCAACGCTCACAAAGCATCACGAACAGTTACTCACCTTTGAAATGAAAGATGTTAAATAGGTTGAAGATTGAATCGGTATGAATTTCTTGGGGCTGTTGAAGAATTGTGGAATCAGACCATTTGTCCTGTCATTTACCCACTCGTTGATTGTTTCCATGGCTGACTGTTGGTCTCTGAAGTTAATCTTTCAAGCCGAAATTGATCAAAGATAAAATATGTGGATTTCATTGTTGCTTCCTTCTTAAGATTACACAGTTTTGTTATTTTACCACTCAGAACAAATTGAGCTAAGCTCAAAGAGATGAAATTCAACACTAAGCATTTATATTAAAGGTAACGGTCTGAAACAAATATCTACCTTGGAACTCCTCAAAGGACGCTTAAATGCAATAGCTAGAACGTCTGCCTGCAAAATTAAAAGTATGCTTGAAATAATCATGTTGGTAATTGCACCATCAGATGTATGACAAAGAGCATTCAACATGAGGCCACAATCGTGCAACAAGCCTTCCTTTTTGTGGAAAAACACAGGTGATTTGAACCACAAAAAAGAAAGCTGTTGTGATGCCCCAGTCTTGTATGAAACATTGTTATTGATCTGAACATTTACCGTGTCATTCCCACATCGTTTTTGCGGTTTGACTAATAGTCTATTTTATGCCCCATCGTAATGTAATTTGCTGATTGGTTAACTTTTACTCTTACTATGCAAATTTCTCGAATTGCGGACAAGGTCATTTTTCATGTGTATACTTATTCACGTGTCTTGGATTGATTCATTGTTATTATATTACATTCTCGGAGTAATACACTCTCACATCTGCCAGCTTCAGTCTTCTCTCTATTCGTCCCGGAGTTGCAGTCAGTGTCTCTTGCGTACCAAATCAGCTGTCAGCTAAGCTCGCGTATTATATTCGTTCCGGAATATATACATATTCCGTTAGCACCTCGAAACCATAACAAAAGCAACAAGGGAAAGGTTGAGAAAAGGGTGTGAAAATTCTCAAAACCCATGCTGACCTACTACTCAATAGGAAGAGGTGTACCTAAAACTAACCAGAACAAGATAGGTCATAGAACTAAATATTCTAATACCAGGGCTATCTCTGTGACCCCTTTTGTCACGCCCCCTTGAGATAGGATAGGAATAAAAGCAAAAATTTATTACAATACAAACAAAATATAACTTTATACCAAATGGCTAGTAATCGTGTTTTAGAAGATATGTATATTCAAGCAGAACTGAACAAAGATAGTGAATAGATATCGTCAACTACAGTTACATATCTTTTGACTATCCCCTTGAAAAACCTCCTACGAAACCTCTAAGAGAAATCATGCGATTATTTAACTTTTAAACATGCTGAAATGCATATGAGTATAACTGACTCAACTTTTCCCCTGTTGCCTATATATCAAATAAAGTAAGCCGGTATGGAAATTCATTGTACCATCGTGTCCAATTTCTTCACTTTCATCATGACTAACCGTTAACATGTAGTATTCAAACTTTTACTTACAGTTCTTTGCTTTCAGCTTATTTATTAATGACTAGATAAGATTTTATTTCCGAATTCTTCAATTCTGCAGAATAACGTGTCATTTCATTTTATAGCTTAAGTGATCTTTAACATGGGCTAGGATTGGGTTTTCTGATATTTCGATGCAAAAATAATAGCAGTCAATACAGCCCAACCTGTAGACATAATTAAGCATAGAGATGAAAGGTTATCCATATTCTGAATGATAACTTATACAGGGCTCTCCATAAGGTGAAAAAGTATGTTAAACTTTACTTTCTACTTCACTGGGATTCTATGAATACATTTTTTCGGTGAACCGTTCACCCAGTGCCGAATTTATTAAATATCATTAGGTCTGGCTTTGAACCTCAAATACAATACAAACTATATATTAATGATGGACAGTGGCTAGCAATGGAATCAAGGATGTGCGTTTTTTCCTATCTGAGACTCATCAGCTAGATGTACCTGCCTCCCAGTGAGTGATGTTCCTCCCACTAGGACTCAAACTCAAGACCAATCACTTCAAACGCCAGTGTTATCCACTAAACCACTGAGTCATGATAGCCACGTCTTGTGCGGTGGGTGTAGTTTTAATGTTGATGCTTGTAATATCCCGTCATTGAGTGATTGGACTGATCAGTCTCCATAACACTCAGGCGTTTGAAGCGATCGGTCCAGAATTGGAATCCTGGTGGGAACAACATCGCTCACTGGGAGGCAGGTACATCCAATTGACAGGTATCAAACAGAACGACGCGCGCTTCCTCGATTTAACTTCTAGCCAATATCCATCAATAATATATAATTAGAACACAGGCAATATCAAGGCATCCGTTCAGGAGCCTATACGCCAATAGATACCAATCACTTCATTCTATTCAACGATGAGATACCACAAGCAACAATATTACAAAGCAAAGTGCTTGAAATGAAAATTGAAAGTCTTCAGAATTTCAAACGAACTCAATAACATTTATTATGTAACAGGTTAGTAATTAAAATCAAATGTACTGAAATACCTATGCCACTTAAAGATTTTGTTATACTGAAGACAGGATAGCAAGTACTAGTAGCAGGTTCACTGGCTATCTTTAATCGAACTATATTTTATAGTTCAGAGCAACTTGAAACTGAAGACAAGCCCAATCATATTAATTACAGTATTAGAGAAATGCTGTTTACGAAAAAGAGGTTGATAACAGCCAAGTTTATCTTCTTTACGCAAGTTCATTCCACCACAGTGACAAAGTCTTACATTTATACTCAAGTTTTATCTCAATTTTTTCATGTTTGGAAGTCACACTGTAACCTTGAGAACTAAGGTTCATAGTATTAAGAAAATGACTTGATTTAGTTCAGCAGTTTCCAAAAACGAATTTGAAGGCAGAGAATAATAATTTGAGATTTCTTTAGAAAGGAACAGTGACTTAAGAGACAGACCACAAAACTGAGTCCGACGGATATCGTGGAATAGGCATTTAGTGAAGCTATCAGAATTATTTAAGCGGTTTAGACACCACTAGGTAACTCCTTTACGAGGTAGCATTCATCACTGACTGACATCACCTGAAGAACACTGAGAACCTGGGAGCAGTAGACAGCCGTTTCGTCCTAGTTTTAGACTCTTCAGAAATATACACACACGACCCGGCTGGGGATCGAACCCAGAATCTTCAGGTTTCTCCGCAAGCGCTTTAACCGTTCAGTCACTGAGCCGGCGTTCCAATGGTTTACAGTTTCCAGCTAATTTCAGCTCGCAATATAACGCCACTAGTACTCAAGGTCTAAAGTCAGCATCGGTTCCCTTCCGAGATTTCAACAACATTATGACATTCATGACATGTGCTTTTGTCGGAAGGGATGGTGTTCACTGGTAGTTCTGTGGCTGTGCTGCTGGTGGTATTTCTGGACGACTTGAAGGTGGTGGTCGATTCAAGAGCTTCTTCGAAGTGATCAGCCCATCGCTTCCTTTGTTTCTCCTCTTTGGTAACTAGCTTTCCTTCACTATCTCTCATTGGTTTCGTCTGCGTTGATCTCCTCCCTCCCAGATAGTAACCTGGTAACCTGGTTATTTGATGTAATGTTGTCAGGTCTCTCCTACCTGCAGCTTGTTATGCTTCACTTGCAAGTGTGTCGTAGCAGTGTCTTTTGTTTTTCCGCAAACTCTTTACTTCCTTGTCCAGTGGAGTGTTTTGTATATTGTACTCACTTCCTCTTTTCGTTCTTCATACTTGCACTGCACTGCACTGCTTCATCTTCTGCTCCACCATCCTACTCTCCTATTTCAGCTTACATGTGTTTGTCCACATCCAGTCCTTATCTTCTTTCTTCTTCCTTCCTAATACGCTTATGTAGGTTACTCTCCACATAGCTTTCAAAGAGTTCCAGTGTTCTTCCACACATATTTCTTCATCGATGTTGCTCGATATCTCTCATTCTGTCTTGATGGCTGACGTGAAGATGTCATTCATAGTTTCTCTTCTCGGTGTTCAACTTCACCTGTGGTTCATCACCAACTTCCTTGAAGGCTTTCAACTTGATTTGGAGGTTAGGTTGCTTGGACTAGATAGTGCGTGGTGTGAACACACATCTGCTCGCCTTCTTCATCTCATCCAGTAGGCTGTCCACTAGGCTGTCCACTAGGCTGACTGTGTCTCCACTCTCTTCACATTCAGATGAAGTCGATCTGATACTTAGTGTAGTGTGTCCATGTGATGAAATCAAATTCATGTCGGTTTGTGGATATCCTTGTGCTTGAACACACTGCCTCACCTCGAATCACCAAATTGTTGAGGGTGGAGAATTCTGCAAACAGTTTTCCATTCTCGTTGATTATTTCACCGAGTGATTCTCGACCCATGATGGATGAGTTCTCTTCCTGCATTGTCTGCTCCCAGTTTGGCATTCATGTCACCCCACTGATTGGAATTGTGATGTCGCCGACTGGGTTGAGTCTTGTCGAGTGCTGATTGCAGATGTCTGTAGAACTCCTCCTTCTTCTCTTGACCTGCGTTATTTGTAGTTGCATAGTGTAGCGTAACATTGTATGATTGTGACTTTCCTTCCTTTTGAGTTGAATCTTGCTGTCATGATGCTGGAGGATGACATTGTTTCCTTCTGCATGAGGGAGCCTTCGATGCTCTTGGGAAGGGGACATCATGATAGCCAGTGGAAAACTTAGCGTGTTTGTGGTTGTCGTCTGGGTGACAATATCGGAGTAGATTATTCACGCTTCAGTTGACAGTTGGGAGAGTCCATTTCCATTCCGTCTGCTCTCGCAGATTTCAAGCATTTTCATGCCATACCTCCTCATCTCTTTTGCAATCTGGGCAGGCTTGTCAGCTAGGTTCAAACATTGTGCGGACATTTCATGTCCCCACGTTTACTCTCGCTTTGATTGAGAGAAGCGAAGACACATTGTCCAATTGGCTTCTCGAAGGCTTTCATCAACTGGTGTCATTTCGTCTCTGCGATTCCAGTGTGGAATAAGTTTGTTTTCTTTTTCATATATTTTGTTTTTGGTTTGAAGTTTCTTTAGCAGTTGGATTTGTTTTGCGATGTAGAGTTTCTAGCTGTATATCCAACCTTCCCTCTATATTCGGGCTTAGGATCGGCTAGTAATTAGTGAACTAGTTAACGAGGTAAGGTTTTATGGGTACAAAAGTAGCTTATATTCGAATTTTACACACATATGCGGCAAAATATTGTGCATGAATGACTTAAAACCAGTATAAAACTAATTTTAAACATCCTTCTCGTAGCTTGATCGCTTCATGAAATTCACTTCTAAGATGCCGAAGTTGTAACTTGTTTGAAGCTATTTTCTTCACAAGTTTTCAAACAGCTTACAATCATTTTGAACTTTATTGATAATTTCAAGATAATAATACTGATAAACAGCAGTTTGTTATAAAGCATTTTAATCGTATGAATCAAAAACTAATAGTTTTCTTTATGAAGCTCCCATTTGTATACGCTATTCAAAACTTACTTTGTAAATTTGTTGATCAAAACATTTTACTAACTGAGACTCAAAATCCTCTTTCATCAGAATATCAGCTCGTGTATACATAGCATTTGCGATAGAAATACTTTTCTTTTTTCTCCATTGATATCTGTAATCTCCTTAGTTAGTGAATTTAATACTGATGAATACAAATATCTAGCATCTTCTCGAAAACTTTCTAAGCAGCTTTCATCATCTCCATCACGTTGGATTTGCAGTGCTTTACCAATCTGAAAAGATGTATTACGTTTAGCCCCTCCGGAACCCAATAATGTGCACAACATAAAAAATGCACCTAGTGGGCATGCCACATAATTTCCTTGTTCTACGAAATGAATAAAAATGGCTCAACATTAATTGCCAGGCAAAGTGGAATTATTTGTTTAGCAAAGTAGTATGTCACATTTTAGAATGATAAAATTTTCATCGTTATTACCTATCATAAGTGTAATTTAAACTTATATTGGGGACATAAACATCCAGACCATAGTTTTTACGAATGTCCTGGAAGAAGCTGAGCTCCGAATCAGATTGAATCGTTATAAGAATATACTTTAATATAATCCCAGTGTGTTTAGAAAATCAAAACAAGATATTTTTGAACGTTTTGTTATGTAAGCCACAGCTTCTTTAGCAGAATATTTGACAGAAAAATATATATGCAGCACTTGCAGCTAATCTGTAAATATCATGCTGTTTGTTTTTTACAAGAACTATTCTGACTGAGAATAGCTTTGCATTCGGCTTACTTGTCATAAAAGTCAAGAGATTGAAAAATGCAGTATTTCTAGGGAAACACACTGAATGCAACTAGTGAGATGTAAATTAATTACTTTCTTATAAGCAATGCAAATAGAAGCAGCCTATTTGGAGTTACAGAAGCCTCTTATATGACACATTAAAAATATTTTATATTTTTGTTACTTTAAATATTGCTGTGAGAAATATGGAGCACTTGGTCAGAGTGAATTAATACAGAGCTTTGTTCAGGAAAAACACATGATTAAGTTAGGCGACTAAAATCTAGAAATCAATCTTTTCTATACTTTTTTCATTTCATTTCTATATCAGCAATGAACTGCTGAAAATAATGCATCGCTACTTAAGAGTTATGAGCAATGCATACCGACTTGTTAAATCGGTTGACTAAATATCAGTTGTGTTAAAGCGGAAAGAACTAGATTTTCACTACATCCGCCATCGACGTCAACCCTTCATGTAAACTACTTTGAAGAAACCATTTCATTACAAACCAAGCGAAAAATTCATCCCATGTGTAAAAACGGTCATATATTAAAAAGCAATATTCTTGGTTGACTGTATTCCCTTCTCATACTTTTCATTGTATACATTTATATTATTTTTCAATACTTCTTTTTTAAATATATTCCTAAAATTTGAAAACTGGAAAGTGTCAATTTGCTATGCTGTTTGAGTACTTCATTTTCCCACTGATCGAAATTTTGAAACAGATTGAATTCATCGTAAAGAATATAGCTGTAAAACTTGGGCACTGTGGTAGAAATTGATTCCATATTAGATTTGTTTATTTGATTTATAACATACAGTGATCTAGTATTAGTTACTTGGTGACGTTTCGAGCATAAATTATTACTACTCATTATCATATCAATGTGATCATACTACTTTCGACATTTGATTTTTATAGTTATGTCACCTCATATGAGTTGTTTTTATTGGTAGCGAAACTTTCCATATCTCTGGTATAGGTGTTGCGTCATTTCTATTACATGTGTTTCTTGTTGATTCGATGAACAAAGATTCATTAATCAATCTCTCTCAAACTAATTATATTGGACTTAAGGTAAAGTGGCTTTTTCCCATCCTATTGTGTGGTTGTGTGTGAATGCATGCATAGCAATAGCTGAGTTCTTTTCTAGATTATTGATCTTGTTTAAGTCTGTTATTCTATATTTAATTGTCTGAACCGTGTAATGTATTTGCGCAACACATTTCGAACTATCTGATCACACACGTACTTGTTATAGGTATTTATATAAAAACTCATGAAGATAAGGGGTGAGAAAATAAAAAGGGGTCAGGTAGGAAGGCTGACTTAAAGGCCGAATAACAATGAAAATCAATAGAGCGAAAAAATAATAGTACATCGAACTTGGTTTTTCAATAGTTGAATTTACCAAGGAAGGTTAAGTGTGACAACAAATTGTTTATGAACACATAAAGGTGGTTTCAACTTCCTAATAGCTAAGGCTTCAACAAATTTCAGGACCCCTCCCCAACATGTTTTGTAAATAGGTGTAAAGGAAGTAGCCACATCAATCTTGTGACCTGTCTCAACGATATGTTTAGCGATCGAAGAACTTGGACGTCCGCTACCAACATTTGTAGGTTCAGGCGATTTAATTTGCTTCTGAAGTCACTTTGGAATATGTTCCGAGGCCCTTACTTGCATGGATCTATTAGTCTTCCCTATATGTGTGTCACCACACGTACATTTGAATTGGTAGATACAATGGGATGTGACATTATCGTTCACATGCTATGGGGGTTTGGGGGAATATACGGGTTTCGTGGTTTCGATTACTCGGACCCTGGCTGCATAGTAAGTCCTTCTAACAGCAGCGTTAAGTCTCTGCTTAAGGATAGCACTCTGAGAGTCACCTTTGTACGGAAGGCTGATGAAGACATCCTTCTTTGGGACTGACTGCAGTTCTAGTTTTGACGCTCTGCTAATTTTGTTCTGCCTCCCATGTTGGGGAGGAGTCCTGAAATTTGTTGAAGCCTTAGCTATTAGGAAGTTGAAACCACCTTTATGTGTTCATAAACAATTTGTTGTCACACTTAACCTTCCTTGGTAAATTCAACTATTGAAAAACCAAGTTCGATGTACTATTATTTTTTCGCTCTATTGATTTTCATTGTTATTCGGCCTTTAAGTCAGCCTTCCTACCTGACCCCTTTTTATTTTCTCACCCCTTATCTTCATGAGTTTTTATATAAATACCTATAACAAGTACGTGTGTGATCAGATAGTTCGAAATGTGTTGCGCAAATACATTACACGGTTCAGACAATTAAATATAGAATAACAGACTTAAACAAGATCAATAATCTAGAAAAGAACTCAGCTATTGCTATGCATGCATTCACACACAACCACACAATAGGATGGGAAAAAGCCACTGTACCTTAAGTCCAATATAATTAGGTGGAGAGAGATTGATTAATGAATCTTTGTTCATCGAATCAACAAGAAACACATGTAATAGAAATGACGCAACACCTATACCAGAGATATGGAAAGTTTCGCTACCAATAAAAACAACTCATATGAGGTGACATAACTATAAAAATCAAATGTCGAAAGTAGTATGATCACATTGATATGATAATGAGTAGTAATAATTTATGCTCGAAACGTCACCAAGTAACTAATACTAGATCACTGTGTATTGTAAATAATCGTAAAGAACTTGTATTGTGGAAAAAGTTCCACTGGATCTACATACGTCCGATGAGTTACGGAAGAAACTCTGTCGAGTTATTTGATAACCCTTCACTCCTAATTAAATGAATGAGTATTTTCTGAGAAAATTTGTCCAATTCATTGCTACCAAACTAGAAATCTAGTTGAAACTAGTGCACAAGAATTATATCACATTTCTAACCGTTTTGAAAGCAAAAACAATAAAATATTTGGGTTGATAACCACCAAAATACTGTTCTTCATTGATCAAAGTAATCTGGAAGTAATTTTATGGTTTCTTTTGTTTACCTCAAAGTTTATTGATTCAAATCTAACAATCTAACTTTAGGTTAAAAATTAGTGTTGTACACAGTAGTCACAATAAGATAAAATCTCTTTTTTATCTGGCCTTGAAATCAGCCTCAAACGTCAGATAGTAGCAATTATTTCGATTACCCACCAAGCACTTAAAAGTAACGAGTGTAATAAGTGGAAGTTATTGCATTGAAAACTGGAATATGATCATTTAAGAAGTTTCTCATACCTGATAACTGAGTTAAATTTCGGAAAAAACCAGGTAACGGTCATTTATTGAACACTTAAAAATCTTATTTTTCACTATATATTTGAAATTTCAGATTTCCACATCCACTAATGAAATGAATAAAATTTGAGTAAAATACAAATGAATTTCTGAAGATAATTTGCAGTACTTATATTCGTTTGTTAAGCTGCTGTTACTCGATTACAGAGAGTTTTAAGAAGTGCGGTTAATGACAGTCATCTTTACAGCTGGAGTCTTTAGCACTTCTACTTATTTTGGATTGTAATAGGTTTCTATGAGTGACTGTACCCTCTTTCAAAGAAATGAAAAGTACAAAACAATGCAAAGTAGGGGTACAAAAGCAGTTTCACAGGAGTAGTAGACAATAACTGTATTTTCCTCCATAAAATACTTGTAACACTAACAGTACCTATCATCAGTTGGTTACGTAGTAATTATGAGATACTGCATGAGGTGTGACAAGTTGTATTACAACCTTAGTTCAGAAAGGAATATTGAGATATATACCTTTTCTCATAGAAAGGTCCTAGTGGAGCCAAAAGTAAATAGTAGTTTATTCTATTTGACAGTATTAAAAATTTCAGATTCAGAATGTGATTTTGAAGCCTAAGTACATTATCAAAATTCATAAAAGGGACTAATTGTTTGAAATAATATTCCAAATTACAACCACTTACCCACAGTTGATACATAATGGTTTGAAAAAGATTGTATAAAATGTTTCGAATTATACCCATAGTTCTCCAAACGTATACACATTATCAGAAATTTAAAACCCTAAACTTGACCAAGTTTTAACAGTATTTTCACCATTCGAACTACTCTGTCTTAGTAGGTTTCATTAATTATATATTTATTTACGCACACGTAATTATTTGTTGAAAAAAGTTTTGATACAGTCTAAAAATGAGGTAGAATAGACGATTTAGAACAATTCTTTGTTACTAAATTCTTCGTATGTGACCTTATTACTTAAAATCATCTTTACTGTTAACAGATTTGGATACATATCCTAATGTGGATTAAAAACATATGTTTACAATAACTTAAGTCTAACCTAACGTTTATGTTGTATACACTTGGTTGGTTAACTATTATTTTCAATGTAAGATAGAAAAACAAGTCTTATGATTTACGGACATACTTCAGTTCTCATTCAACAGGCGTGGCCAAATGTGGTTTTGTTCCGTTTAATTATCAACGGTGGCTCATCATTTTTATACAATAAATGTATTGTAAATTCATTTATTTGTTCAAACACTACCGAATATGAATAAAATCTAGATGAAAAATTAAGATTTTCATTTTCATGATCAACAATGAATGAGATAACTACACTTCACAACCGATTCTAACTGATTTTAAAAGTGTAACTATGTTATCCACTAGTACTTATCGTTTCCCGTTGCTATACTAGGTCTAACTGCTCGACCTTTGTTGGTAGATGGGCTCCTATATGGATGCCTTGGTCCTGCCTGGATATTCATTATATTGCAGTCTTCTTGGCGGCTAACCGTGGAATCCAGGACACGCTTCTTCTTGTAGGATGAAACAACTGACAACAATTGCATAACTGGTACTTTCATGCCCAAGTGGCCTAGTGGATAACGCTTTAGCGTTTGAAGTGATGGGTACTGAGTCCAAGTTTCAGTGGGAACAACATTGCTCCCTAGGGTGCAGGTTTATCCAGCTGATGAGTCTTAAATAGGACGAAACGCCCGTCCTGCATTCCACTGCTAGCCGCCAAGTGGACTAAAAGGTAAGAATATTGTCTTAGGTATGATGTGAGTTACTTATAGCACTTACATTAGAAATCATGCACACCAGATGTAGCTTTATCCATTGTTGCTATTTATTTTCTTTCCCACTACCTTTAAGTGTATTTTGCTGTTCCGTAGTAGTTAATAACACTGTCTAATACACAGCTTATTGAATTTAAGTCCATTTTTCAATATAATATCATCCAAAAGGGAATTTCATATTTTAATGTTTTTACAGTGGAATCATCCTTCATAAATAACGACTTGCAATTATATTAAATATCCGGATTAGACTGAAAATATGATTCAACATATGTAAAACAGTAATCTAGTTCAGATTATTCTTGAAAAGGCTTGGTTTAATAGAATATCAGTACAAGTTCTGTTCAAGTTATTTGTCATCCACAATACTTTGATGAATAAATCCGTGAAACTCAAATCACCAAGATATCATTCCATGTTTGTTCGTTTGCTGAAGATTTCACACAATAAAACATCACTATTTATAAGACTGTTTTCTGAACACGGTTTTTCGCTCATAGTCATGCCAAATGTAACTTCAAATCCTTCACACCCTAATTTATAGTTCTTTTCTAATTACCCTCATTTGTTGAATGTTTAATGGAAGTTTTCATATCTCCAGAACAAATGTTGAATCATTCCTACTGTATCCGTTCGGTGCTGATTTGATAAACAAGCCTCAGTTATCAATATCTCTTCGATAAATTAGTTCTTAGGATGCTTCTCAGTGTCTCATACTATTTTGATTTTGTGATCCCATACTTTTCTATGGTTGAGCATTCCCTCCGATCTAATATATTACAAGCTAGACGTAATCAGACTTTTGTTCTCTGTTATTCTAACTGACCATGGTTACCTGCTTTTATCTATACATTTAACCTAACAACAGTTTCAAATTTTTTTTTCTGACCAGAGTAGTAAGATACTTCACCTGGAAGGCTTTTTTCAGGGAGTGCACAAGTTGAACTGTTATCTTATTACCAATCCTCCAGAGAAACCTCTGTTAACTTGCTGAATTCCTTTCGTTATATAGAAAAACCAAATTGATGCTTAGTCCCTTTCTTAGATTTGCTATTTTTGTGATGCATATCATCCGTGATTGTGTCACTCAACGTTTTAAAAAGTTACTCATACATTTCGGGATCACTTTACGAAATTATTTTTTAGTAAGGTTTTCTTTGTCTTATTTTTGTGGCATTATCTTAACAATTTAATTAACCCAATTTTAACTGATGTACGATATTATCTAAAGCCTAGTTCTTTATCATTACTATGCATATTGTAGACAAAGAGGGTCAAATCTATAACTGAATTTATAATTGTTAGAAATTTATCCACATATTCTGAAGTTGAAATCATGAATATCAAAATATACAGTCAGCATGATATGGAAAATCCTAATACCCACTCAATAAATAAAGGAGATGAAAAAGAGCTATAAAAGCAAGGTGGGGAAGTGCGAAGTTACCTCTGATGGTATGGCTACGAACAAAAAACATTTTTCAGAAATTCACCCAGCAAATAATAGTCTTTCCAAGTATGAAATATTTAACAAACGAAGTAATATGTGATTACAAACCACTGGTTATTGAATTATTCCCTACTTCATTAGTAAATGAATGATTTATCAATGAATTCACCTCGTGGATCGATTCTAACCGACTGCTACATCGCTAACTTATAAAATGGCTACCAAATGTATCCAAAATATAAGTGGCAGCTACTTTCATCATTCGTAACGAGGAATTAAAAGTCAGAAGTCTTCTCTAACGGTTTAACGACAGTCATCCTTCAAATATTTCTGAGTTAGAAGCCGAACCAAGTCATATTCCTTTTCTTGACGTCAAACTTGAAAGAAGACCTGATAATTTTATTCACAGATCCAACTGCAGGAAGCCTACTTAGGATGGGTATATAACAAAATGCAAAGCTAGGTATTAATAAGCATTCATTCTCTCCCTCTCAAAGGATCATAAAAATATATACTGACTACACCCTAGAATATTTACTAGAATCTTTTCGTAAGACGCTTTTAAACATTGTTTGTCCATGCATATTTGTAAAACGTACTATCAAAAATACAAGGTTATGGAAAAACTACTGGCTCCGAAGAAAAGCCTTCTCCTGAAAGTCGGATTCATAATTCAAGTTGCCACTGATATTGTGCTTATACGCTTGTCAAAGACACTGCAAAACATTTCCTGCTGCAGGGTTTCAGATCATCTTTTCATACCAGTGACTGATTTGTCGGTGTGTGAAAGACACTCTGATGCGTTAGGTTTCATCGATTTGTATCTATCAGTTAACTTAGTACCAGGCCATACTATTCACTCGCTTGCCAATAGCTCTAGCGAATATAACTCAGCCTGCTTCTTAAAAGGTGAAAAGAAGACTATCTCTAGCCTTTCCGTCTAGCATCTGGTGAGCTCAAGATGTCTGATTTCTCTCAAAGCATCATCGGAGATCCTGCACATAGGTCGGTCGAATCGTTCAAGAGGTGTATGGTTAAAACATTTATTAGCAGCAGAGTGTATTAGTAATCGACAAATTCAAACCTCAACTGTAGGTTAAAAGAAATACCTGTAGCTATTTTCTTTACCATGGATTTATAAATTTACATCATCATTTTTACTTTTTACTTAAATTGTGATTTTCCCGAAGAAGAGACAAAAATGTCATAGCGTATTCCTTCTTATTTTATTTTCTATTTTTATTCACTAACCTTTAGAAGCTTTGCATCATTTTACCCAGATCGCGTAAAATTTCCACACTTGCTATCTATAGACTCAACTATTAGATTGACTTTGAACTATTAATCCCTTTTAAACTTTTTATCCTCCAACTTATATATTTACAATGGAACTATTTTGACTACTATTCGTTGTAAAGATAACTATTTACACCGTAGCTACCATTTTGCGTTTTCAAGAACAAAATTGGGGGTATTTTAAATTTTACTTCACTCAGTGTCTAGCATGGGAGTAGTAAATAAGAAGGCATACTGAAGAACTTCTGTCTGTTAGGGAAAGATAAACAAGGTATCGACAAAATATTCCAATGAATGCAGATTTGATGGATACTGACAGTATGTAGTATTTCTTACTGCTACTCTATACAGACACTGTTGATACATAATATGTGATCAGTAATATCCTGTTACTATCATTGTTATTATTATTATCATTACTAGCAACTGAAACAGCAATAACATACACGCAGCAACAAGTTACCTGAATTACATACCTTTTTTGCAGGTAAGATGCATTTGTTGGTGAGCAGTCTGAACAAGTAAATGTAAGATATTTTGGTGCATTGCCAAAAATGTCTTTTCAAAAACTTCAGAGTTGTCTGTCCACAGGTATAATATATTGTATTTTTTCATTTTATTGTCTATGATTATTCATTTAGTGTAAGGTGGCTTTCGACTTTGTCACTAAGCAAGACGTGGCAGTTAGTACTTTATGCATAACATCGTAACTACTAGGCTTTGGATTTCCAGATGACAAGCAGTGATAAACCGCAAGGCTTTATCAAGAAATACGGAGTGCAACTTATCGCGGAGAGCAGATTAATGTAATTCATGGAGGTGATAATATCTATGAAAGATAAGGAAGAGAAATAAGTGAGTGAAAAAGCAGCGGCACTCCCTGTAAATTTTGTAAAAATTGATATGAATAGTGAAAACGTACTAAAATGAAATGAAGAAGAAACACTTACGCTAACTTTGTCCTGTTATTTCCACTCCAACAACTGAAAATAAGCCTCTTAACGTGTAAATTACCCATTACATTTTGCATAGATTAGTTGATCGAAGGATCAGACATCAGCTAGTTTATTACTAAGTCAATATTTTATCTTTGTTGAATATTTTATAGCCTGTGTTAGCCTGGCAATACACATATTGGCGTTTGGAAAGAGAAAACAGCTACTGTTGTTTCGAGGGAAGGTAAGCTGCAGTATGGTCACTGGATATTTGAA